TTACCCATCTGCTACAAGCACTATGTAGACATCAAACAATGGCTGACACCTCTTCCCCCGTATTATTACACGTTCCAAAAAGTGGGATGGCTCTGACGTACAATGTCATTCCAGACCTTTATCGATATAAATCAAACCCAACTGCTATTCTTGAAGTTCGAAAATAAAATCAGTGATTGTGAAAATGTCAAAAAAATGTTTGCTTAAGTTACAAAATACATAGATATAATACAATAAATAGGTTTTAGTAAAACAAAACGAGTGAAAAAAAAAATTGACCATATTTATTTTCATGAATCTTGCGCAGCTTTGCATGATACGGATTACAAATGACAAAGATTAAATGGTATCCTTTAAAGGTCTCACGCTCCAGTTCTCCATGCATCCAGACCTTCCTTTAAAATGCCCGGGCGTGCTGAATAAATATTCCCTTAATTTAAGCTGCCTTTTTGAGGGAAACAAACAGACTGCAACCTAGACCTTGTGCATGTCGTTGAGCAAAGGAGAGGGAGCCTGGCATCGAGGTTGAATAGACCGTAAGTTGAGACCAGTTACGCAACTTAAAGAATTCGCAGTGAAAACTGAGAACATGTCGTATCATGCTTTTTTCCCCCTTTTTTCTGCTCTTTAAGTTAATATTTTTTGGTAAGTATTAAGCATTGTTCTACTACCGACTTTGTTCCGTCCGTTTTATTTTCCAGTTTGCTAGGAAACTGTGGGCAAAGTTTCAAGGAGCGATGCCCAGCCAGTGACGTGAACACAGGGGTCCACCACAACGGGATACAAAAAGCATCCTGATATTACGAGCCGGCTACGGCTGTGGCCATTTTTAAAACATGCATTGGCCAACTGGAACATCAATACAAACTAAAATGCATACGACACCTAATTTGTCAAATTCCTGCGGCTAAAACGAATAGATTTCGCATTCGTCCTAATCGAAAACGTAAACAGTATTGTAGAAATTGAACGGGATGAAGATTACACAAGGCTTAGTTAATTACGTCATAAATACTCGATCTTACATTTCAGTTAAAACGTCCTCCTTTCTTCTCATTTGAAGGTAAAATTAGGATTATTAAAAATATGTTGTTCACTAACTGATCAATGTTTTTTTTTTAATTAAACGTGTCGTTGAGTTCTAAGGAGCAAGGATTTTTTTTCACCAGTATTGAGCTTGTTTGATATAACGGTGTCAATGCATGATAGCAAAGGATCATAGTCAGGCCACGCACAATTTCAAGAGAGTAATTAAGTGGAAGATTGTTCTTAAGGACTTCCCCGAATTGGTGATGAAAGTCGCGCCCTGGATCTTCTTTGTTTGCCCAATGATCCGCAAAATTTCCTCTTTCCAAACGCCTGTTTAAACGATATGTGGAACAAACCAAAAAGAACGCTGCAGCGAACAAAAATACACTTTGAAGTCTCATGTTGGCTTTAAAGGCAGTGAACGTCGAAATAACAAGAACGAACTCGAGAGCGCTTTCTGGGAGACTAGCCAGTCGATTGTTCAGTGCTATGCACTCTATTGTAAGTTCGATTGGGCCTTCGCGCTTCAATTAAGAAGGGCGATATTCAATGCAATCCAGTAGAAAGTTCTCTAGATCGTGTATTGATGAACTTTTTTTAATTGCTATATAGAACGTATCGTGAACAAATCAAGCACAAGGGTTTAAAGGCAAAGCCGGTAGAACGAGGATCGATATCGGCCATATGTATATCGACTGGAATTTTTTTCTATTTCCATGACGATGGAAATGATCAGATTTTATCTCTTGTGATGGCGCGAGACAAGAAATAAAAACTCAGTCATAATGTTCTCGATCTGCTATTATTTCAATTATCTTTTATACAAGGAAAAACCCGGTCATGTTGGAAGATAATCAAAATCAGTCGTAAAGATGTGAATGAAAGTGATTTTGTCTCGCATTTTTAACTCTTGGATAATTTAAATAAGAGGAGTCCATGTTAGGCTAAGCTTGTCTATCCGTGTCGTTTCGGAAGTATTCAGTTTCATTTTTTAGGGAGAAGTGCTGTAACTGAGACAGTCATTATGTATATTGTTATAAACTTGCTGCATAAATTTAATTTGCTACGTATTTTTCAGTCAAACGTATAATTCTAGTTAGATATTATGTTGATAAACACAGGAAAACCCTGGATTAACAGTTCTCACTTTACCAGCCTTTTTATTACCAATAAAGGTTATCTTTCCAAGTTCGAAAACTAAGGCTTCTCTGTGTAGTTAAATATGTAACATGGCATGAAGGTGTTTACGAACCCTCAACAGCAAAAAGTTCCCGTCATGATTTTTCGTACGAA